TGTAAACCCTGTACTGTAGGACACAGACTCTCGCGGGCCTGCTGCTCAAGGTGGGTAAGAGCGGGAAGGAGAGAAAGCACTCATAAAAAGGAAAATCCTTCTGCAACAGGAGATCCTGCCGCTGAAAAGAGTCACCCATATAACTCATTACATAACATCTAGAGTAAAGGAAGTCCAGGGTCTACAAGGAGCAATCCATTTTCCCCTTCCCTGTGCAGCTCCATCTTCTCCGGTCTCCCAAATGATCAACCTGTGTTGATCTGCTTCTAGCATTAAGGCAGCTTTCCATAAGAAAACCATGGTTCTGATGTGTGGAGTGTCAAGTGCTGTCACTGAAATCTTCAAACAGTATACAAGCTCACTTATAAATCCCAAAAAGACAAATAGGAATAACCATAACCCAGAACAAAGCAACTGCTTTTATGTTGAGATTTGTTGTTTCATGCAGATATTTGCATTTCCGTAATATGGGCTTTAGAGAGAATTGTTGTAAGACTATGCTCTGATTCTCCATCAATCAGCCATGCACTCTATCTCATTAAAATCTTTCCCCTTAGCTTCCAACTGGGCATTACAGAAGAAGAAATCTGTGGCTTTAAGCGTTTTAATCTTGGACTTCCAAAAAAAATTTTTTTTAATTAAGGCAAAAATTACCTTAGGTAAAAATTAGTGACTGTAATTTAATAGTGTTATAAAATCTCTAATCCTGTCCATTGGAATCTCTTGACTGATATCACCACAGCATGATACCCTATTTTTTTTTTTTTTTTGTGAGGAAGATCAGCCCTGAGCTAACATCCATCCTCCTCTTTTTGCTGAGGAAGACCAGCTCTGAGCTAACATCTATTGCCAATCCTCCTCCTTTTTCTCCCCAAAGCCCCAGTAGATAGTTGTATGTCATAGTTGCACATACTTATAGTTGCTGTATGTGGGACGCAGCCTCAGCATGGCTGGAGAAGTGGTGCCTCGTGCATGCCCGAGATCCGAACCTGGGCCACCAGCAGCGGAGAACGCGCACTTAACTGCTAAGCCACGGGGCCGGCCCTGGAATGATTTTTAGTACCAAAGGAAGGCTCTTGTTTTTTTCTTGTCTTTTACTATTATTATTATTGAGGTAACATTGATTTATAACACTATATAAATTTCAGGTGTACGTCGTTATATTTCGATTGTGTACAAAGGATGGTTTTTATGGTTGATTCTCAAACCGAAGACAGCGTACATCTGTCAGTGGAAGAAACTTCCTTGAGGAGAAGAAGATTGCAGTCCTAGATTCCCTGTCTATTCATTAATTCACTCATTCATTCAACAAATGTTTATTGCATCTACTATGTGCCAGGTGCTAGATACTATGGTAAAAAAAAGTCAGACAAGGTCTCTGCTCTCATGGAGTTTACATTCTAGTAGAGGAGACAAAGCTGAAACAGTAGCCAAATGAATGAGATAATTACATGTTGTGTTAAGTGTTAAGAAGAAAACAAAGAAGGGGCTATAATTGAACATAGCAGGGAAGCATTTTAGATTTGATAGGGAGGATGCCCCTGAGAACGCAGCCTAGGAAATGAGACCTGAGCGAGGGAGTGGAGCCAGCCACGCCTGAGTCCTGCGGCCATTTGTGGAGTAAAAAAAAGTTATGTGAGCAAAATATTCCTTCATTAATTGCTTCATTTTATGATAGTTAATCAAGACAAAATGGATTGTTCCCAGTTTTCCAGAAGAACCCTGTCTTGTACTTCCAATCAAGCGTTCTGACACTGCAGGCTCCCGGCTCTGCTCTGTAGCTGCATTCTCACGTTCTCCCACATTCCTGTCACATGCTGGCCACACCCACATCCGAGGAGAGTTTCTGCACGCAACTTAGCTGCAGGTAGGAATCTAATAATGGACTCCTGCTGTCTGGCTCTCATTTGCTTCATTTGATTGTTAAAGTTTAATGTCAGAATAAAATGTTTTCAAACATTAGAAGACTTTGATAGAGACCAACTTAATTTTGTAGGAGACACTATTTTTTTCCTTTGTTGTTTATTTAGAGATTTATTTAGGGGATTGCTATATAGTGGGGTATTTTTTGCTTCCTATGGGCTGTTGTGGGTTTTTTTGCATTTCTTTCAATAAAATACAGTATTAATTATGAATTTGTTGAAAGTACCAAGAAAAATATAAAACTTTAAAAAGTGTTTTCTCATCAGTTATATAATGTTTTCAGGAAATTTAATTCACTCTTATCATCATTAATAATGATGATGATATTTACCATTTATTGAGCTTTTACTATGTGCCGGGCTCTGTGCTAAGCATTTCACACTACATAATTTTATTTAGCCCATTAAGTATTATACTCCCGTTACAGATGAAGGAACTGAAGCTCAATAAATAAAGTTAAAAACTTGCCTAAGGACAGATAGTAAATATATTTGACTTCAAAACCATGACGTCAATTATGCTATATAGTAAAAATATATTATTAAGTAGGATAATATTATTAAATAGCATAATGGTTACATTAAACATTGATGAGCCTGTTCAGAAAGAAACGATGGAATGACTATAGTAAAATTATATATATATATATTTTGTGTGTGAAGATCAGCCCTGAGCTAACATCCGATGCCAATCTTCCAATTTTTTGCTGAGGAAGACAGGCCCTGGGCTAACATCTGTGCCCATCTTCCTCTACTTTATATGGGACACTGCCACAGCATGGCTTGACAAGCTGTGTGTGGGTGCGCGCTTGGGATCCGAACCTGCGAATCCCGGGCTGCCGAAGCAGAGCTCGCGCACTTAACCACTGCGCCACCGGGCTGCCCCAAATAATATATATTAAGTAAGTATTACAAGGAAACAATAATTCCACCAAACAGTATTTGCAAAGTCCATTATAATCATTTAATTATTTTATTTGTTTGTTTGAGGTCATAATAGTTTATAACATGGTGACATTTCAGTTATACGTTATCATTTGTCAGTCACCATATAACCGTGCCCCTTTACCCCTTATGCCCACCCCTCAACCCCCTTCCTCTCTGGTGACCACTAATCTGTTCTTTGTCCATGTGTTAGTTTATCTTCCACATATGAGTGAAATCACGTGGTGTTTGTCTTTGTCTGGCTTATTTTGATTAACATAATACTCTCAAGGTCCATGCATACTGTTGCAAATGGGACGATTTTGTCTTTTTTATGGCTGAGTAGCATTCCATTGTGTATATACACCACATCTTCTTGATCCATTCATCAGTTGATGGGCACTTGGGTTGCTTCCATGTCTTGGCTATTGTGAATAATGCTACCATGAACATAGGGGTGCATAAGTCTCTTTGAATTGTTGATTTCAAGTTCTTTGGATAAATACCCAGTAGTGGGATAGCTGGATTGTATGGTACTTCTAGTTTTAACTTTGAGAAATCTCTATACTGTTTTCCATAGTGGCTGCACCAGTTTGCATTCCCACCAGCAGTGTATAAGGGTACCCTTTTCTCCACATTCTCTCCAACATTTGTTATTTTTTGTCTTGGTGATTATAGCCAGACAGGTGTAAGGTGATATCTCAGTGTAGTTTTGATTTGCATTTCCCTGATGATTAGTGATGTTGAACATCTTTTCATGTGCCTGTTGGCCATCTGTATTTCTTCTTTGGAAAAATGTCTGTTCATATCCTCTGCCCATTTTTTGATTGGGTTGTTTTTTTTGTTGTTCAGTTGTGCGAGTTCTTTATATATTTTGGAGATTAATCCCTTGTCAGATATACGATTTGCAAATATTTTCTCCCAGTTGGTGGGTTGCCTGTTCATTTTGTTCCCGGTTTCCTTTGCCTTGCAGAAGCTTTGAAGTCTGACATAGTCCCACTTGTTTATTTTTTCTTTTGTTTCCGTTGCCTAAGTAGACATGGTATTTGAAAAGATCCAAGACCGATGTCAAAGAGTGTGCTGCCTATATTTTCTTCCAGGAGTTTTATGGTTTCAGGTCTTACTTTCAAGTCTTTAATCCATTTTCAGTTAGTTTTTGTGTATGATGAAAGATAATGGTCTATTTTCATTCTATTGCATGTAGCTGTCCAGTTTTCCCATCACCATTTATTGAGGAGACTTTCCTTTCTCCATCCTATGTTCTTAGCTCCTTTGTCAAAGATTAGGTGTCCGTAGATGTGTGGTTTTATTTCTGAGCTTTCAATTCTGTTCCATTGATCTTTGTGTCTGTTTTTGTGCCAGTACCATGCTGTTTTCATTACTATAGCTTTGTAGTATATTTTGAAGTCAGGGATTGTGATGCCTCCAGCTTTGTTTTTTTTTTTTTTTTTTTTTTTAAAGATTTTTTTATTTATTCAGTTTTTTTACCCCCAAAGCCCCAGTAGATAGTTGTACATCATAGGTTCACATCCTTCCAGTTGCTGTACGTGGGACTCGGCCCCGCGTTGGACGGAGAAGTGGTGCCTCGGGGCGCTCCCGGGATCCGAACCCGGGCCGCCAGCATCAGAGTGCGCGCACTTAACCGCTAAGCCACGGAGCCGGCCCTTCCAGCTTTGTTCTTTTTCCTCAGGATTCCTTTAGCTCTTCTGGGCCTTTTGTTGCCCCCTATCAACTTCAGGATTCTTTGTTCTATTTCAGTGAAGAATATCATTGGGATTCTGATTGGGACTGCGCTGAATCTGTAGATTGCTTTAGGTAGTATGGACATTTTAACTATGTTTATTCTTTCAATCCATGAGCATGGAATATCTTTCCATTTTTTAATGTCATCAGTGATTTCACTCAATAATGTCTTATAGTTTTCCTTTAATTATTTTTAACTGCTACAATCTTGGACAGAGTATAATTATTTCCTGTCTTACAGGTATAGTGATTGAGACAGGTAAAGTTTAAAAGCCATTTCCAATGTGCCAAAATAAGTGAAATCTATTTAACATAATATGTATCAGTGTCTTTATATTTTAAATGTGTCTCTTGTAGACAACATATAGTTGGGTTTTGCTTTATTTTTTTTTAATCCATTCTGATAAACTCTCCTTTTTAATTAGAGTGTTTAGTTCATTAACATTTACTGTAATTATTGAAATACTTGAATGTAGGTCTACTATTTTACTATTTGTTGTCTTTGTCCCTTCTGCTTTTTGTTCCTCTTCTTCTTTTGGATTATTTAAACATTCTTTTAGAACTGCATTTTATCAAATGGCTTTTTACCTATATCTCTCTGCATTATGTTTTTTTT